TACAATATAAGTGCAGTGAGCCTGTTACATAAATAGGTCTTTATATAAATAGATGAAATTGTTCTATAAAATTGTTTAGTATATAAAAAAAAAATAATAATAGAAAAAATATACGGAATAATCACGTAAACATAAAGGTAATTGCATAAAAAAAAGTAACCCTTTCTCATTATAGAGAAGTCGAAGTAAGCTTTGTTTATGATAACAGATTTTCCTACAATAGATAAAAATATGCCCTTAAGACAATTGCAGGCAGTTTATATAAATTGCTGAGATAAATCAAAACTTAGGACTTTTTTTTTTTTTCTTTTCTTTCTTAATTTTAATTTTTAAAATAGAATTAGGAATCCAGGAAATATTTTTAACCATTGTATATAGGGCCTATATTATTCCTATGAGACATTCATAAAAATATTTTTATTACACTTTTATGTACATTTAATTACATTATATCTAATTGAGATTTCAACTAGAATTAAAGTTAATTAATTTTAATTAAAAATCCTACTTAAGATTTATGTTACGTCGTTAATTTGATTTTATCTTGATGATGATTTATTGATCTAATGCGGCGTATGTCCATTTTGTTTTTTTTTTCTAAGTGTTAACTTAGTACTTGTTAAGGAAGGATTATAATTTTAATTTAAATTATTGTAAAGGAAGGATTATAAACTTAATTTAAATTACTATTTCCTTATTTAATTTTTAAAAAATTTCCTTCTCGATCAGGAATAATCGATTATGTATAATATAATTATACAGAATAATAGAGGGGACTTGCAAGGCCCTATAACGCGTACACGGAGGCTTTATAAATTTAGTTACGTACGTAAATAACTGATATTTAATTATACTGTTAAAACGCAACACGCGGAAGACATTTCTGTAAAAAAAAATAAAAAATAAATAGTATCAAAACTTGCCACTGTGGCAATTTTGGCGCTGCAAGCACGAATATATGATTTCAATTTGCAGTTTCTCACTGCATGCCAGAAGCATCATAAAGCACCCCAATTCTGAAGGTACTCTGTGAGCTTCTGAGTCTGAAACTTTGCAACGCCCCGTGTCTTGCACAAGTAAAATGTTCCTCGCTCGCAGCGTCAAAAGTGCCACAGTGGTGAGTTTTGACACTAATTTTTTTTTTTTTTTTTTTTACGAGAATGCCTTCAGCGTGTCGCGAAATGTCGCCAAATCAGATTGGATTGAACTTCGACAACGTTGAATAGGGGTACCCTTTATGGTACCCGTTATATTTTAAAATATGTAGCGTTGAATAGGGGTTTTTCTAGACGAAAATTTCTCTTTTTTACTAAAATAATGGCTCCAAAAATTACAGATGCTCCTACATTGGAATAAAAATAATTTGCTCGATGAAAGGGAAACCATTAGGACTATAATTTGAATCAGCTATCAATTGAATTTCTTAGATAAAAAAAACCTTTGAATGCTGGCAAACCAGATCCATTAAACCTTTAACATGTCGGTTCACTAATAAGCTTGAATTTTTATCTTTATTTCAGGACCGAAAAATAATTTTATGTGTACCTAATGATATTTCAACAGACCAGTTTCTATGCCCTTTACTTTAAAGAAAAGAGAAAAGGGGGAGTTGATTTAATGATGTATTGATTAAATAAATGGGTGGAAGAAGGGTGGATATCGTGGGCTTTGATCGTATTTATCATTACGTGTCAAAAAGAACCAATTATCCAATTTAGTTACATACAAATATTTTGTTATGTGTAGTCGAAAGCTTGATATCTGTTGCAACAAGTTTCCTTTGTTCTCAGAAGTACGGAAAGAATTTCAAATAGTCGCAAACGTTTAAAAATTCTTTTGAACTCGACATCTTTCTGACCTTAGTAGATAGATAAACAGTAGAGGACATTCTTAGCCAAGTGTTTGATGAGGTCATTTAAATGCTGGAATCATCTCTGCCACGCACAAAGTTATATACCTACTAAACAAACCAGGCGTGGTGTGATCGAGTGGGTAACTTAGAAAAGAGAAAACCTCGAATAAATATTGTTTTTCTCTACGTCTTATCTTCTGTTTATCGCGCATTTTACTTTCATTCCAGATTATTTTCTTGTATAAATGCAAATGAGTATTTTGCTATTATAATTTATTATTTCATTATTTTCTTTCTTTGACCTCCAAAGGTTTTCAAAATTAGGGCACAATTCGGCTCGAACTCTAAAGAAATTTACTTTCTTACCTTTAAAACATATGCCAGAGTTGTCTTGTCTTTCTTCTATAAAACACGGCTAATTAGTCTGAAGTGGGGGGTGAGAAATTTTATTTTAATCGAAAGATCCGTATAAAACCGCACGCTGTAGTTGCATAGGTACATATATTAGACCTTACAATAGAGAGGAAACGATCAAAAAATATCATAAAATATATCATTTGTAAGTTATTTTTTTAGTCAATTTACCTGACAAGTGAAGAAGAGCAGGTGTGAAAAGACTTATTATTCTATTTTATATTTACCAGGCCGCAATAGAAGTCACAAAAAGGTCTGTACTTTACAAATTATTATTAAATTAAAGAGTGAAAAATTATTCTTTATACCTGGCATCTCTTTGATTTGAGTACTTCTTATAAGTTTGGAAAATTTCTAAGTAATGAGGCACAATTACTACTGTATAACCCATTTGTTATCCGAATTATAAAGGATATGATGAAAAGAAGGCATTATCTTTAGCCCTTAATATGAAATACATGAAGGGATAAGGGTATTAAGTGTATTATTCTGTAGAGGAAACAAGTTTGGGCTTTAGTAGTAACACTACTATTTTGTACGAAACGGGTTCTAATAGTTCACCAGAACTGCTCGGCAACGAAAAAAATAAGAAAAAAAAAAAAAGCTTCCGATTTTTTGCACCTTTGATACAAGTAGTGTGTCGGTACGTTATTTATCTGTCACTGACGACATTGGGCGCGCTCGATTTATCACGTGCCCATTGTTTGGAAGCCATAGAAACCCGCTCCATTTATCTTACTTAGATAGGGGAGGAGGATAGGGAGGATTTTGGCATGATTAATTGATTAATATTTTCGGAAATATCAATCTATCACTGTGGACATTAAGGTATTGTTCGAAAGGGCGGTAAAATATTTGTTTTATGCTGACGAGAAACAATGCTGCTCCATCGGTCACATCCACTCGTTTACTACCTCACGCTAATGTTTTTTAGCTTTCGCTTGGAAGGGGGGGGAGCAAAACGTCTTTATTGTCTCCAACACCACAAAAGCGATGAGATGATGAACTACTGTTCATAATTCTTTTTGCTTTGGCATTTGCTATTTTCTTTCTGTCAATTGCCAAGAATTCGTACCAAACTATTTATAAAAATTAAGCGCTTATTAATATGCAAATGTAAGAGGAGGCATATTTTATATACCAAGAGATAGGATCCGTTATACAAGGGTTATTCAGATAACAAAGGAAGAACGAGTCCTTGAATATCGCAAATGCTGGTCAGCAACTGTGTAAAAACTGAAAAATTTAATTAGGACATATAATTCGTGGAATGAATTTATTACATTAAACGGATATTTAAAATGCAATTCTTTTTAAATGCGCGTAAACCTGTCTAAAACGGACTATCTGTTACAACTGAAATGATTTTATGAGTAAAAATAACGTTAAAGTAGGCAACCTGTCTAACACGGAATTAACGTTAGAAAAAATTAAACTTGTATAAAACGGAAAATCCTCTATAGGAGTTCCGTTTTAAACAGGTTTCACCGGTAGTAAATCCCCATTTTTGAATGATTTCAAGTTTGTTTAACGAAAGTTATTAGCCGCGTGGGCGATTTGACAACAATAAAGTATGACAGAAAGAAAAACACAAGAAGGGGGGGGGAGAGGGTGAGAAAGGCGGCGACTAAAATCAAAAACGGGATCGCATCGATGAGAGAAAGCAAATCTTCTATCCCTCTTTACCAAACGGTGGGTGTGGCTGGGTTGTCATTGTGGCACGTGCCGTTTCAGCAACCGGGCGTTGGCCATTCGGGTATAGAATTACAGACAAAACGTCTATTAATATATTCAATACAATGTTTCATTTGCATATTTCAAGTGTTTAAACACTAGTTATTAACGCGAATACAAGGGGGGTAGGAAAATAATTTAATTTTTACACCAGTTTCTTGTGTCGTATTCCACACACCTTAACCGAAAAAGGGAAGAGGAATCGAGAAGTATTCTAATTTAAAAATAAAAGGGGGGATAAGGGCGAACATGCTCGGACCGACCCGGATGTACGAGGTGAAAGGTTATCCAGTCGGTAATTAACAGTGATTTAGAAGGCCGTGCACTTATGGTAATCATCTGTTTATCCGGCCTCCTTCATTAACACGGCAGACAATGACCGTAATTATTGTTTCTTCCCTCCCCCCTAAATGGCAGTGGCGTTAAAATGACGCCCCGAGGGGGCGTGTCCTTCCTCTGTCATATATTTAATTTCCAGTTTGATGGAACTAATAGGAAACTGGAACCAAACAAAGATCTAACTGGAACGTTCGTCTGTTATACGTTGCTTTAATTAGCAATTTCTATAATTAAAGCAAAGATTTTTCGCATTAGAACATCACAAGTAACAAAATATGGATCCTACAGAAAAGAAAATTTATCTTATAACCTCCTTAAAATACTTTAACAGCACCTTTAAGTTAAGAATTGATGAGTAGCGCACGATAAATACTCGATATTTATTATCGATTTGCCCAAAATTTAAGGCCCCAAAATGAATTTCTTAAATGGTATTTAATTGTTCTTCTATTATTATTATTATTAATAATCTTCTAGGAGTAAGGTTTATTTTAAAATTTAAATTTCGAGCCTTTTAAAGGTTAGAAATCAAAACAATCCATCCTTGAACGTTCTTTAATTGTTGACACAATCTAAGCTGCTGTCAAGCTTAAAGGATTGTTTTTCCAGGTGCAATCCATTATTAAGATTATTATTTTTTTTCTTTGTTTCTTTATTTTAGGTGATATGGATGAACAAGATCAGAGCTCAGTTGCCATAGAAGGGATGAATAGAACAAATCAATACCTTCCACTTCAAAGGATAAAAGCAGCATCATTGTAAGTTACATATTGCAAAAGAGAGGAGACATTTTCTCTGTTCTATTTTTATCGATTAATTTCCAAGTTATATTTACTTTTACTTAATATATATATATATATATATATATATAGGCCTATATTTCTTTTCTTAAAGTTTAAAATTAATTCGGGTCGATCATATGGAGGAAAACAATGTGCGGATGGTAGCAAGTAGTAGCTGAAAGCATAGGGCCAAAGTATCTAGTGACCCTGGCTCGACAGGTGACCCACTGCCCCTCATTTACAACCAATCTAGTCGACCGAATAACCCAAATTGCGACATTTGTCGTAACATTCCGACACTACCCGTAATAAGTTCGGATGTTGTCTTACGCCCTTTAACCGAGTTCCATTTTGCTAAACATGGTACACTATAATAAATGCGGTAACAAATCTGCTCCCGTTTTTCTCTCTTCTTTTTTTTTTGGGCAGAAAAAAAAGAATCCCTCCCTCCCCCCCTTCCTTGGTAGGTACAAATTAAATTAAAAGTTGTTATAACACGTTTGGCTGTTGGTGTATATCCCTACGGGTTGACACTTTCGCCTTCCTCCTTTTTAGACCGGTTTCTCTTGGCAATCTGCTCACGTCCAAACCATACATTCACTGATATCCGGGTGCTGGCTCATTCTATGAAGAGGGTGAAGTGACAGTTTCAATGTTATTTTGGAACTTATCTATAGCATTTTAAGTGTTGGATAATAGAGAAAACCTACATACAAAATGAGTCTACGACCTACGTAATTAGGTTACAAACAAGAGTGACCGCAGGGGAAGCATTGTCGAGCAACAAGGCGCAACTTCACAAGTAGAATGGCACAGGGAATATATGTATTTATTCCTTTTTTTTTCTTTTTTTAGCCTTGTATTTTAAGTTTCGATAGTGGGACCTCCCACATTGTTTGCTATCGTCTCTCACTCCAAATAACCTCCCCCCCCGTCGTGGCTTTTACAACTGTCATAAAAGAGGTGATACGAGATACCGTTACCACATGCTTCGGCATCTTGTGTATATTGAAGTGAAGGGGAAGAGCGGGAGTCAGTGTGGATGCAAGAAGCGAGTTACTGGGATCTCGAAAAACAAGTCCACGAGAACTGGTTGTTCGAGGTGATGTACCGTTTGTGTGCTAAGGTCATCGGCCTCTCTCATCGACAGTAGCTCCTCCTCAGTAAATATTGGTTGGAGTGCTCCGTGGCGGAGGTCAGCCATTCTTGTGGTTTATTGAACGAGTCAATTTTCTCCAGGAAAGAAGAGAGAGAGAAAAAAAAAAATGGCCTAGCGAAATAAGAGAGCATTAATTGAAATTCACATTTGGAACACTACATTGAATCTATATTTATTTATAGGTCAAGGAGTAGGGCCTAAAGACAGATAAAATTCGAGCAATTTCGTTCAGATTGTATTGAAAAGTTTTTTTTTCTTCTTAATTCGAGGTCATTGACACATATAACCCCGCTACAACGACAACAGCCTGACGAAACAATGAGGGGCAGAAGATTGTGGCAGACGTTACCGGAAAGGTTTCGAATTAGGCCTATGTTTAAGAGTCACGTTTCTATGTAACGTTTGCTTCCTCAATAGACATTTAGGGCTATTTGTAAGACACGGCCCGGTCATTAGAATAAAACAAACACTGCTATTTTTTAAATCTTTAGCTTTGATTTTTGGCAATTGTTAGGTGAATAGGTGAACGACTTTTTTTCAAATATGTATTTTTTTTTTCCTTTATAATTTTCACAGGGCCATGTCTCATCTGCATAAAAGGGCGACAGGAGGATCACCGCCTTTGGTTAAAGGTGCCCTTGGGCGCCTACCCCCTTCCATGACTCCATCTCTATCCGCATCGCCTTTGCTGAGTCCCACTCCGCTCGTCACTAGTGCCCAGATGATAAACAGAGCCCTGTCTGGATCACCGGGGGGCCCTCTATGTCATCCAGATATTATGTCGGACAGTTTGAGGAGAAGAAAGGTGCACAGATGCGACTTTCAAGGTTGCGACAAAGTATACACGAAAAGCTCTCATTTGAAAGCACACAAGAGGACACACACAGGTAAGAAAGATCATTCGATTTTGCAAGAATCGTTAAGAGAATTGATATCGACTTATCCGGTGGCATGTCACTTGTCGACAGATAACAATTAATGTATCCATTAAATGGGGTGTGGTCAGTTGGTAACATGGTATAACAACCTTTATCTACGGGTAGGATCTTTCACCTTGTTGATTATCGCACGTTGAAACCGGTAATTAATTAAAAATTCCGCCCATCTCACTTTTTTTCTTCTTCTATTCTTTTATACAATTGTTTTTCGGAAGACACCCACGAATCTGTTTTGTATAAAACACTCCATTTTTACCGGGAACACTTCTTATTCAGGAAAACCCAGAGGAAAGTAAGTTTTCCTGCAACGGGTCATGCTCGCTCGTCACCTTTACCCCGGCTGGGTCATCAGAAAACCTTAAAGGTTATCACGACACATCCATTATCCCTGGTCGTCGCGTTGGAATGACAGGAGGCCAAAGTCGGGTTGAAGTTCGAGTCTTGTGGCTTTGGGAGTGGGATGGGAATTAGAATCTCGTCCTATAAGTTTATTTACCATCCCCAGAGTGACTCCAGTTCCTCTTATATATATATATATATATATAAAGTTGAAAAATACAGTTTGCAAAGCGGAACGATGGAAAATTTCATAAAATTAGGAGGCACCTCTGGGTAAGTTACGTGTCTACGGGGGTGTTAAAATCAGACCAGACGAGATAATTAGGATAACAGATGCCACCGATAGCTGATATTAAACCTTTAACCATAACGAATTTCTTAATACAAGTGATAAAACGGCATCTGTGGCCACTATCGATTCTGCACCATCGCATACCAAACCAGATGTATGGTACGTAATGATGAGTTTTGTGTTGCAAATCACTTCTGGACACTAACGTGCAGCAGACATCTCCGCCCTCTGCTTGGCATCATTTTTGTTTCACACGACTCAAATCTAGATTTCCGGTTAAGTTCGAGTAAGGGCAGTTTCTCACGGACATTTCTCCTACCCTTCAGGGAAAAAATACGACCCCTCCCGGGGGTTGGTCTTTGAAGGGTGGGTGGGATGGGCGAATGCACGGAATTACTATTCTATGACATCATAATGGAGGAATACGAATCGGGAGTGGTCAATCTAGATTAAGAAACGAATGCGTAACAAATGACGTTCATAAAAATTATTTATATTGTTATTATTTCCTCATTTCTAAGTATATAAAAATTTACAAGTTCATGTTTTATTAATTCATAAAATATGCAAATTTTTACATCTTCGCGTTACGTTTACAGAATTGCTAATATATTATTTTCAAGATTTTTTTTTATAAATTTTATACAAGTCGATCCTCCTATAACACTGTTGATTTTTCCGTTTTATATAAATTCCATGTTGTACGAGTCACTTAAATTTTACAAATACGTGAACCGTTTACAGCCCGGCACACGTATTTGTAAAATCTAAGTGACTCGTACAACATGGAATTCATATAAAACGGAAAAATCAACAGTGTTATAGGAGGGGGTCAACTGTAATCTTTTAAGACTTTTTCTTTACCCTTATTCACAGGAGAGAAACCATATTCCTGCACTTGGGACGGATGTACGTGGAAATTCGCTAGATCTGACGAATTAACGAGACACTACCGCAAACACACCGGACAGAAACCATTTAAATGTCAGTTATGTCAACGATCATTTTCACGTTCGGACCACCTATCACTTCACATGAAACGACACTAGATTTAAAGAAATAAAAAAGAAGAAAACGAAACAAGTAAGGGCATTTCTTCTTTATTATTTTCTCTCTTCCATTAATCTCTTGCATTTCCTCTAACTTATTCGTTGGTTGCAGGCCGTTTCACACGGGATGACTACGCCATCTAGTGGATACTTCGGAATTAAAATAAACACTACTACATATCACTGAAAATTTTCTAGGCATTAATGCCGAGTATAACATTCCTACTTCTTGCCCATGGGGCTATCTACACACGGCCAGTTGATTCGTAGGCATCCTGAAGGTTCGAGCTGTACATATATATATATATATATAAATAAATCATCAAACCCGCCAGACTAAAAAAAAGCCCACGTAATAAAAGAAAAAAACAATTAGGGAATAATACGCGTTGTATTTTTGTANAAAAAAAAAAAAAATTTATATATATATTTTTGTCGCATGTTGAAGAACCAAAAATACTGATGGAGATTTCTGTACATAATTCTACTTTGAATGGAATAATACATAGAATTTTTTTTTTTTAAAGTACATATTTATGATCGGCAAAATGAAGAATTTCTATGGTAAATTTTTATAAAATTTTGTAAATAAATTAAATAAATAAATATATATATATTAAGGAAGCTTCGTAGGTATGGAACAAAAATTAGCGCGTGAAGAGAATAAAGAAAGGGGCATTAACCAATCAGTTCCTTGCTAATAATTGTCCATTCAACCGGATCTTTTTTGCCGATCATCCGTCCTCGACTGCCAGAAACAATAGGACTCAAGTTAATTGTTGCCCAATGATAATTTTTGTACCTCCATGTTGAATAAAAGAACCATATAATTTATATACATTGATATACACATAAATATATATATATATATTGTTTGGATATTTTGTATAAAATAAAAGTTATCTATATAAATTTTCATTCGTATGTCTGCCTGTTTTACTCTTCTTTTAATACCGTAATCTCTTGAAGAGCGAGTTATTAGGGAATTTCAGGAGGAATTCTTTTAAAAGACCATTTTTTATTATTATTATTATTATTTCTTTTTGTACTTTGCTCATCGTCTAGTATTAAATTTAATTATAAATATAATTTTTATCTAAACAAATCGAGTAAAATGCGGCGGATCGTGATGGAGGAATAAAGTCAGCCATCCGGAATATCAGCAATTATCTGGAGTGAAGAGCGTTGTCGAATGGCAGCCATACTGCTCCAGGCTAGACGTGAGGATTGTTTTACTTGTTTAGTTGTTAAAGGTGCCAGACACTCCCCCCTCTAAATCTTGTTTTACAAAGTCCGATGATTTACGACCTTGACTATTTTAGATGCTCCGTCCGCATTGGGAATGACAATTAGCGTTCGAATGAGTCGTAAAAATGTATAAATGAAAACCATTTAAACTCTAATTGTCCCGGATTCGGGAGTCTCATTATTTTCTTACCTTCACAAGACGTTGGTTTGACTTTACTCCTTTTTCTCTGTCTTTTACTTAATCGTTGGAAGAGAAATATTAATTTGTTTGTGTTCGTGACCGCCTAACAACTAATCTGAGTTCATCAGTTGCTGAAATACACAATTTCCTATAAGACTTGACTCTAAAATAGGCTAGGATCATCATTAAGTTGCATGGTCTTCGGGGATGGTAAAGTAATGGATACGCGCGTGTACATAGAAAAAATCCTGTATTTTTTTCTATTTGCATATTAAAAAATACATATATAGGCCTATATATTACAAAAAGCTTTCGTGGGGAATGTTAATAAGAAAATTATTCATAAATTTTTAATAAATTATCTTGTATAATTGTAATTGAAACACACCGATCATTTTTGGGAAATTATCGGAATTGGTGGCCTGCTTTACGTTAGTTTACATACTAGGCCCTTCTTTTCTACACGTGAATATATGAGGCCTTAAGCTGTAGACTCGTAACGCGAGGCCTAAGCTTACGTGCAAATTCGGATCTGGAGATTAATTAATTCGGTTTATAGGTTGATTTACATTCAACTGGATGCAAATTTTGTGGGGCCAGATGCAAAATATAATTAGGGCCTTTTTACGATGCTAAGGGTCGAGCATTAATCAAGCTCTAGGCCCTCGAAGAGCGCGCGAGTCGAATACTCACGAAGCCGGTTCTGTTTATAACCAAAATAACTAATTTTTATGCATTATACAAGGTTAGGGCCCATTTCACCTGTCTCGACTTTTGTTTAACGCAGATCCTTGGCATCTTAAAAAGGCCCATTATATTTCGCATCGGGACCTCACAAAATTTCTAGCCAGTCTGATTGGAAATCAACGTACAAAAGGAATGGAGGATTTCACATATATATGTATATTTTTTAATGTAGGGCCCTCCACTTCCGGAACACGTAAAAATATGTGAATAAAATCAACAAAATATATATATTTTAACCATTAATTAAAAGAATGTTTGTTTTTTTTAAATACAAAAGATTAAATTTTGAAGCTCCCCATACCCGAGGCACTGAAGCATCCCTCTATCTGAGTGTATATTTATTTATTTATTGAGAGGAGAAGCAAAATTTACAGTCGATAATGCCTATGCCTATATTGTATTCAATTTACTGAAAAATTTACAAAATTGTATCGATGTAAATAAACTAAAATGGCCTTCGTTCAATTTGCTAAGAGGTATCTCATAGTTGACACGTCTTGATAACATAAATAGAATATGCAAATTTCATTGATACCTGCCAAAACTCCTGTTTTTGTTTTTTTAATACATTGTAGAGAATTTATGCGGCAATTACTCTTGAAACGAAATAATGTATGCGTTTTGTAATCAGAGAGCAATTAAATAAACTTCGATATAACGCCTCCCTCATAAAGCGTGCCTACTTCAACGAAATATAGAACTCTTCGGTAACTCTATTACATTTTTCTTCGTTAACACCCGATTTTCAAACCCGCAAACACCTCGATTTAGTGCAAAGTTCACAGGCGTAATATCGAGTACGTTGGATCTAAATTGAATTATCTAAAGCCAAACCTCCAAACAACGGCCATTTTTTTTTTTTTAATGCTTACCCTCAGTGGCCGTTGTTTAAAGGTTTACATTACCCGAAGAAGTAAGAGCTACACGGTTGATGCACGTACTGTACAAGATGTACCGGCGCTATTTAGGGGTGCGCTACATCGAGGTTTGGCTGTATTTATTACGGATTCGAGTCATTATCTATATGATAAAATGATTGTGTTAAAAAAAAAAAATTATAATTACTTCGACTGTACTTTGCCAATAAGATAATTTTTAAATCGATGGGAATCGAGGTCATGTAAATTTATTCGTTTCTACGATCCGGTTCTTCCAGCCTATTGTATTTATTTTCATAGATAAAGAAAAATTAGTGCCTTTACCAAGCGAGGACATATCCTACGGATTTTAGTAATTTTTTTTTTTTACAAGCTGTAATTTATTAAATTAACACAGTACTAAGTTTCTTAGTCTTGTGGGTGCATTGCCAAAGCGTGCAGCCTCAATAAGCGGGTTACTAAGTCACAAACGCGTAAATTACGATAATAATATGTTATAGAAATGAATAAATAACAGAAGAATACTTTATTTAATATTTTATAAAATATCTTCTAGTATTGTTAGCTTTCATTTGAGGTTCTGAGCATCCTACTAGACAATTAATCCACAAGAAAAATGTCAATCTTCTTCCAGCTATTTAAGAATTAATTCAGCTTTTCTTCAGCAAAATTTATTTTAAAATGTTCTCTTCAGAATGTAAAACACTCGCAAAATCTATGGTTTTCTTCAATGATCCATCTGTTCAACCTGTGGTCTAGTAGATGAAACCACCGAACGGGCCGAGGGTTTGCACCTGACCAAAGGGACGGCCACGTGCCGAATTTTTTTTACGTGTGTAATACCTAAATAGGGGCAGTTTTTCGTAGAAAGTCTAACCGGGAGGCACCCATCTTGACAGGTCGTTCAAGTGTTGCGTTGTCTCATTCCATCAATCCAATCCGTTCTAACACTTCTTGAAAAACTCATTAATCGCTTCAATTTTCTGTGTAATATCTATGTCAAATGTTCCCTATGTTCCAGGGATTTCCCTGTGATACAATACAAGCATTGAATCCTAAATATAGGAAAATTGAATTAAATAAACAGGGATTTGGTTTTATGAAATATTCCATCAAATCAAATTCCTGTATTCTGCCTGTATTCTGGAGTCTAACGCCCAGAGTACTGGGAGGAAGTGTATTTTATCGGACATGGAATTTCATGGCGATTTTGTAAGCTCAACTTTAATAAAAAAGCATTGAGGATCATTTTTTATGCTAATTTTCAATCTTGCATTGATTATGAATTGCCCATCTGGTCAATGGCTGCACCTGCTTTTTTACACAAGATTACTTCTACTATTAATAAGATATACCTAACGTTCAACAAAATATGTAAGCTGCCTTTCACTTCTAATTTATTTTTAAGATATATGTTTTTGTAGGGGGTCGGAAATCAAATGTCTATCCAGACTTTTCCTGTAAATTTAATGAAATAAATAAATAAATAAATGTGACACAAAAATTACAATACTGTAAGTTAACAATATACTTGAAATTCTTAGAAAATTGTTATGTAAACAGTTAATATGACATTTATCGTGTTTCGATATATACTAACAAGTGTTCCACATTAATTAAATTTCACAAAAAAATTTAAATTACATTTAATTCTAAGACCTTGATATACATTACAAACATAAATTAAGACCAAGACGAACTAGACAAACAGGGCAATTGCCTAGAAGCGCAAATCTGACAAGAGCCCATAAATCAATTCGTATATTCAAATAAAATTTTTAGTATATAGTAAACAATGTGAACATAAAACATTTGAATCTTCTCCAGAAGATCCATTGGTAAATAGAATACAACAAATAAAATTGTTAACTTTTAAGATGCCAGAGTTTCATGTTTTGCCTAAGGTCCTAATTTTCATTTTAATCCGGCAATGTATAGGCGCTAAGTTAAGGAATCCACGTTACATACCGCATTACACTCCTCACAGTTTACCCAACCAACCATGTTGCAATCTTTCCTATACTCCTCACAGTTTACCCAACGAATCATGCTGCAATCTTTTCTATACTCCTCACAGTTTAC